ACAATACGGAGGACCACGAGGAAGATAACGGTTCATTAAATTAATACATAATTAAATTAATATGTAAGTAAAAGAATCGAGCCGCACATAATTCTACATGTACAATCGAGCGGTATTCGATTATTTGCATATAACAGATAGCAATTTGCGATTCTAATGCGATTAAAGCACAGTATATAGGTGCGGTTCTCAATCGATCCCGCGTTTCCCCACCGCCGTCTCGTCACGCGGATCAATTATCTAAGACGCCCGAGCGAGCTTCTCCCATGTTTTTTTCCCTTTTTCTACGAATTAAATCGGGGAGGGGAAAAAATATGCGGACGAAATATGCGGAGAAAACGAGATATCTGTGCGGCGCTGAGAGACGATTCCTCGCTCGTTTACCTGAGACGACGAGAGCCTCGTTTGGGCCGCAGGTGACGAATCCACAACTCATAATTATACGTCAAAGTAATGACGGCCACTGTGCGTAAAGACCGTGAGTTTCAAGCAGTCGGTTGACGTCAACGTGCCTCTCGTAGTACACAGAGATACACGTACAACGCGACGAAGGCGCAAATTCCTCCCCTCCTTCCTGTCGCCGGCGTTATCCTCCTCCCGGCTCCCCTACGATGTTGGTCCAGAACGCAGAGCGCATGAGCGAAGGGGGACCTTGGCATATTACTGAAATTGATACTTTTAAAGGTCTGACGATGAGACTTTTAAAGGGGCTTTTACGATACATCTCTTGAAACTCGACTTTCCTCAACAAGAAGAAAAGATCTTCCAGCGCGTTGAGGGATTCGATTTAATTTGCGGTCGAAATGAGCGTCTTCGTGTCTCGGAGATAGCTATTTGCAGGAAGAAGATATTCGGCGTTTAGATCGTCCGTGATCACAAGAAACCGACAACGTTAGTTTGGAGTCGCATCCGTTTGACAGCTCCAAATGTCAAACGCTTGGAGATTAAGGGGATTTAAACACGCGTTTAGTAAAAAGAATATAGTAAAGTAGGGACAGTATTATAATAGTAATAACTACTACGTAATGTAGTAATTACTATATAATAATAATAATAATTAATAGTACAATATTTGAATACATATTTTCCAAAACCCTCGAAAAATCCTAAACATTCCCAGAATTTATTTCGGTAAAAGATATTCGGAGTTAGACGTATTTTACGATAAATCATCAATCATCAAAAGAATATATTCTAAAAAGAAGGAAGCGAGAGTTAGGTAACGAGAGTAAGACATACATCTTTCGAGCTTTAAATGGACGTGAACGATGTATGCGAATAAAAATAAAACTGTATTGTAACATTGTACTGTCTCTTGATTTTTTTAATTGCAATTAAAAAAAACATTCGATGTAGAAACCCATCAACGTTTAAGTGTACCCAAAGAGTATAACATGATAAATTAATAATACAGTCTGTTTTAAAATCGTCTGAATTGCTTTTTAAATCTCTCATAATGGTAGTCGTCCGTCGCCTTCTCTCCATTGTCTTTTCGCTTTCCTCGGATATCCTCTTTGGTGGTGCATTTCTTCTTGTCGCCGGAGCCTTGCTGCGATTTCTGGAAATCTGAGTCTTCTATGTTGACTGAAATTATAATAAATATTTCGTTTAAATAAAGTTTATGTGTCTAACACGAAGAATTCAATTGTAGGAAAACAAAATGCATGCAACGGCTGCGACTAGTTAATAAGTTCAAAACAATTTGGGAATGTCGTACGTATAATTTCATGTATATCTATGAAGAATAATAAAGTGAATAAGACTCATACATCTGTTGTGCTGCACGAAATTTACAGCCATATTAGTAGGAACGAACTGCGAGGGTCCATCTTTCTTTCTGTGTCTTTCCCAAAGAAGTTTCAATTTTGCCTCTTCGGTAGCTTCGATGTTACGAATTTTAGCTCTGAAAATAAACTGAATTTTAAGGAAAATGTCTACTATAAAACTAATACGTTTTAAAATGTATAATAAATTTGATGAAGTGAAATCGTTATTATACGCTGCTTCAAGTTTCGACATTGAAAAATCATCTCTCTTTCTCTCTCTCATACTGGTATCCAAAATACCTTTTTTAACTGTGTATGCATATTATTATAAATATACTCACTCTATGCCAAGATCAACCTCTGGAATACCAGAGAGCATCTGATTCGAAAGCATCTCCTCACTACGATTGGCTGAGCTCTGCCTCAAGTGTTCAGGTACGGCGCGCAACGCCGCTTCTTCGGGCGAGCAATATGATCCCTTTTCATTATTCCCACTATTTGCCCCATCATTATTATTTTTACTCTTGCGTTTTGATAATTCTTCTTCTATGTACTTGACCCTGTAAGAATAATCATATGAACTTGTGATATGACATACAAATTAACAATGATTAATAATTAATCTTAATAATATATTCATCACTGATTAAGCACTACCAATAAATATAATAGAAAGATGCAAACGTTGTCGTACATTTCTTCATCTTCGTCGCGTTTATTAGTCTCTGCGTTAAATTGTGTGCCAATGCCAGTTTCGTATGCATCGTTTGGCTTGTGTTTTGTATTCTTCAATGCAGCCATGTTTACCATTCCTCCCGTTTTCATGTTGAAGGGATCCGACTAAATTAACATATAGATCTTTCATATTACATCATCCACCCTGTGTTTTAATTTTATTACACATGCATCCAGACGTATCCTACCGTTATGACATCAGATGCACCGCTTTCTCCAAGAGCCAAACCGACGACGTCGACTCCAGCGGGTCTCTCGCGGAGCTTCTGAATGATCTTCATCTCCTCAACCTTCTCCCTGAAATAAGTCTCTTTCTAATCACGCTAATTCCCACGTTACTATTTAATTAAGATAGA